CCCCCCTTTCTTTTTTATATAAAATAAGCCCCCCCCTGCCACTAACAGGCCACAGAAGCCTTCACTTTCTTTAAAGAAAACTGTTTAAACTCTTCTTTTATGGTGATTCTTTGAAATAACTTACTAATTTTTTCCAAAAAACATTAATTTTACATTTTTAAATAATATGACTCGCTTTTAGCATAAAACAAGGTTAAAAATCCAAAATTTTACTTTGATGTTCATGTAATGTCAATATTCCATAACTGAAATATAATTCCATGGCTGAAACAAATGGATCTCTCTCAAAAATTGGACACTAAGAGATTAAAATGTGATTAATTACTTAAACAAAGAATAGATTAAAATAGATTAAAAACCCATCTAAAAATAAAAAACTGTATGCTTCCTATTGTTTTCTGCTTCTTTATGCTTCTTCTATCTAAAACTAAGAGTAACTGATAGAAAAAAGTATCCCAATTCTTACATATATCACAAAATGCAAATTTATACATTAGAACTTTGACAAGTTGGTACCGTGTAAATCGCAAAATCATTTTCATTTTATTTTTCAAAAAGCAATGAACACACACTTACCCGGCAACAGCCCAGTTCCTCTGCTGTTACTATGACCGTTCCACATTTCTTCCCAGGAATTCCTCTGCAAGAAAATACAACTACGTCACCTCAGTTCCTTAGTAGCATTTGTGAAAGTTACAACTAATACAGACAAGCACAAGGTAAGCTTTCAAGTCACAAAACTGATGGTCTGCTATACAGTTTCCCTTTTCTGTCACTTGTCCTAGGATAAACCAACTTTTTTTTTTTTAAATAAGTGAATTGGTAAACGAGTTGCATATTTATTCTAACTAGCAAGAAACAAATCAGTTTCAGTTCTAAAGGAAATAGCATAAAACGTTTAAATAGGATGAAGTAACAACATCAGAATTCTATTTTCCACCCTCCCATTGATGTTTTTTTTAGAGATGACTCTACAACTTAGATTTGTGAAAGGCATCCTTTTGCAAATTTTCCTTAAACAAAATACCTAAAATCTATTTAAAACTACATACCAGCCTTATTTTTCAATATTTATTCTGAAATGTTTACAAAGACACATAATAATCTCACCACTATATCAGATACAGTAGTTGCAAAATGAACTATAATTCATCCAGACAGCAATTAAAAACATGCTGCTGCAACACCAGAAAGGACAAAAAAGATCCTTAAAACAATATAGGAACAGAAAAGTCATGCATAATCTGATGGTATTCAGTGCCAGCAGCCTTTTGCAGAGGCGGCGTGGCCCTTTGCAGAGGGAGGAGTCGGTGGGGAGAAGTACAAATATTGAGATGCAACTTTCTGCATGACGCTATACTACAAATGAGAAGTTCTGCAATATCCTAATGTCTATTAGTGTGTCCATTAGCACACACCTTGGCAATTACATCTAGATTTTTTTTCAAAACTAATTTATTTCTTATGCTTATTTTATTTCTAGTTCTTTATTTTAAAGAAAGGCATAAAGAAATAATTATTTAAATAAGATTACTTTCCAAGAAGACATTAAGGTAAAATTATATTTTAGAATTGATTGTATTTTTTAGGTTTTTCTAAGAGAACTAGAGGGCACTCCTGTTCTTCTGTTATGACAAAACATTAATATAAGCATTTACTGTTGTTCTTATTTCACTTATTAGTTTCCTTAATCCTTTTGAAATTTTTTACAATGCTCTACAACTTCAAATAGCAAGACTGTGGTATAGTAATGAACTGGTGGGAAAATAGTTCTCAGAAGCAGACAAAAGTTTAGAAATTATGAATAAAACCTTAGAAATTATGAATAGAGGAGTAAATACTGATGCATATTTATGCAAGCTTACTGAAACTCTTATTTAGAAGTTGATGTCTACAAGAAATGCATCAGGGAATGCTGCTCCTATACCGCTGCTGTCACTTGCCAGTAATCAGAGAGATACATGACTGCTCTCCCGGACCTCCTCAGCACTACACAGTAAGTCTGAACTTCACAAGGAAAAGAGTGGAAAGGGAAATTATTCAAGTTTTTGTTCTGAAATGTTTTATCAGCGTCTTCAAATCATATGGTTTTAAATCTGTCACTCTTCAACAGCTCAAGATGAAAAATGACCCATTTTAGCCTCTGTAACAATGGGATATTGAAATTAAAATCTCAGATTTTCAAAAGATGAAAAAGCTGTGGTTTTTTCTTTTGAACAGTACTTCTTGAAGCTTCAAAAACTTCTGATATTTGGTAGTAACAGCAGCAGTAGAAATGACTTAGTTATCATAGTGATATTGACCTTACACGGTAAAATGTTTCAAGGAACAAATGACCATGACCCCAGCTTTGACAGGGAATGAAGAAACAGAAATCTCAGAAGTGTAACTAAAAAACCGTAAGTTCCCAGCACCACAATTCTGTAGGTTATGCCAACTCAAATAGAAAGCACCAGTATCAGAATTACCATTACCTGAACAAAAATTGTTCCTACTGAAGTATTTGAGCCCCGTTAACTGTGCCATTAGGGACATATTTGAGACAGTCTGGGCAGCGACAGTACAGAAGAAAAAGCATCAAACATTTCCTTTGGTATGAAAAGTCAAATAGATTTATCCCACTTCCAAGAGATTATTGTGTCAGATGCCAGATTGTGAAAAATACAACTCTGGTCACCTCCTGAAGAGCTGGAGGCCTGAAGTAAACTGTTGATAAGCAAGCCCCATTTCTGACAGTAGCAATAATGCCTTGTGGGAAAATAACAAAATAATATCAAGTTAGTCTTATCACTGTATGAAAATACAGTACTTGGAGATTCAGCATTACAGACCAGTCCTTCCAATTCCCAGGGAAATACTGACTAATATTATCTTGAAGACAAGCATGTAAGAGTTCCTTTAAATCCAGAATGCAGTGCCACTGTCCATCTTCTTTAGCTTTAAGAAATAGTTGCTATTGAGCTACCCTGGAATTGGTTCTATAGCACTGAAGTGACAATACAGAATTTATGTTCAGGCAACCAATTTGTCAGGCTGAGTTTCTCTGGAAAGGGTTGCAGATCAGGATTTGTCGGGTAATAATGAGGCAATCTGTATTGCATAACCACTGTCAACTCCAACACTCACTGCTAGTTATCTGACACTCAGATATAGAAAATGTGCCAGTCTAAGTGTGAACAGGGTGCAAACTGTATAAAGGAAGGTAAAATGTGAGGAAGGTCTACGTTTCAGTGAGTTCTACTGGTTTGAGAGCCCAGAACCTGTAGGTGTTCTACAGTGATCACCTCTTTTTGGACAGTATTAGAGGGAGCAAATAATTTGACTGTTAGAGGAACTGAACAGAAAACCATCATCAGGTGAAAGGTCTGCAACAATACCTGCATGTTTCTAGACAAGATACAGTCTTGAGGAGTAAATACTGTGTCCTTAGAACAAATGATTCCACAATTGAGACACCACATCTGCAGCACGTAAAGAAGTTTGAAAGGACACTCTGAAGACCACTTGGGCATTAACAAGGACTGAAAGGAGGACCTTTCAGAGTTGGTGAAAAAGTCAGAGAAAGATGACAATTTATCTAGGAATTCAAACCTAAGAGGTTAAACAGAGCCTCCAATTTCGCAAGCTGAAACTGCAATGAGGCAGAGGATGGAACATTTTTCAGATCATTCAAAAATTTACAATCTTATCCCTGAATTTACAGAACCTAGCCGTCTGGCAGTCACAACCACAGATAAGAGGATAGGACAAATACATAGGAAGTCCCAATTCCAGTTCAGATGTTTTTCTACCAATTATGTTCACAGCAAGATGATAGGAGAAAGAACTTCCCAAAATAGGCCAGCTGGCTCCAGTACAGCCTCATTAGCAGGCAATGGCACTCAGATGTGAATAACTAGCATAGAATGCTCATTAAGCTTTGCAATGGCTCTGCCTCCTCATTAAAGGGAATCCCTAAAGGAATGCACTTAGTAGATCCTGAAAGAAGCATTCCGCAGAGTTATAAATGTGTCTTCTCTCTAGGAAGACAGAACATGCAAATATCTAATTCTGAATAATGTCTGGGAAGGTGACGCTCTCTTGAGAGAAAAATAAAGCTGTGTCATCTCTGGAAGTAGATACATCTGCACCTCATCCTTTCATGCTAATACAACTGGGCCATGCAAGGCCAGCCTGAGTAAATCTTACACATGGAGCTTGTCTGGAGAAAGCATTTAATGAATCTAGCAACTCAACAGGTAAAGAGAGTAAGCATTACTGTTAAAATGTCAGATTCTCCAGTTCACCTGCTTTGTATGACTAGATTTATTTTCCAAGAGAAATTATCCAGAGCAAATGTTCATCTCTGTACCTGGCCAGTCTGTAAAATAAAGTGCAACACTAAAGTATATTCTTGAACAAAAACGCTTATAGTCACAGGGATAATAGGCTAGCGCACTACCATACTGGGAGCAAGAGTTTTCTGTGACAGACTGCATCGAATTCAAAGCCCTTAATGGTGTCAGAAACAGAGAGGGAGGTTCAGGAGAGATCCTCATACCTGCCAAGACCAAATGCTATTAGGTTCATGCCTCAGAGGCGTAATCTGCTGGTGGTTTCTAAGACCACGACATGCATGACTATGCAGTTTGATTGAAGGCAAAGAAGAAAAATGCACATGTATATCTTCACTTTTGCACTCACCACGAAGGTTAGTAGAAGGTATGTTTCAGCCTGTCTGACAGACAACTGCAATGGTGACCCTCTAGGCTTCAGATATTTTACATTCATTTTGATGAAGTACAAGTGTATCCTTTCATGGCAGACTTTCTAAGGGAACTTCCCCTGGTGATATACAATCTGACTTGGAGTTGGCCAGCTCATGGCAGCCATGGAGTCCTGAATCTCATGAGGCTTTTGTAAATGTCCAAAGTAGACAGATTTGAAGTTTAAGCTTCAAGACTTTTTAATTTTCATTTTGAAAGAATGTCAGGGCATACTTGAATGCCAATCAGAGAATGGAATTCAAGCTTCTCAAGCTGCTTAAATACAAAAAGTACTACTTCAGCAGGGTAGTTGATTGGGACTAAAACAGCACTGGGCATTCTCTTCTTTGTACATCCATTGTCACAGAACAGAAAAGGCAAAATGTTAATGAACTTCAGAAATACTGTGAAGAGAAAAAGCTCTCTGGTCTCAAGTGACAGGTGATAAAGAACATTCAAGTTACGTGAATGCAGACTTGACTTTGTAAAGAGAACAGTGAATTCAAAGCAGTAAATATCCTTAGGAACAGAAGACATGCAATATTGTCAATTGAAATACTGTTATTTGACTATTAAGAGATGGTAAACACACACCTATAAGCAAACAATCCTGAAAAGCAATGCAATGATTCAATGAATAAAATAAGACAACAAATGTCTCCTAGACACCAAGGTATCCAGACTTCAGAGAGTCCAGAGTGAACAGTCAACCAGGCACAGTTGTCTAGCCACAGCACTGTCAAAAGCACCAATTACAAAATAAAACCTGAACATCGGGAAGAGCTGATAAAGTCATGAACGTTTTCTCATTAACAAATATCTATCCGCACTACATATACAAAAAGGAAAGTATATTTCAAAATCTTTCGGGAGGACAACTGATTTGGGTCCATTTAGTAACTGCCATACAACAGAATATCAGAAGCCAGATCTGAACAATGCTTGTTTACCCAAAAGACAATGTATTACACAGGCCTAAGCAACTGTGAAATAATTATAAGACCTTTTTTTCCATAGAATCTTCATTGATATCATTTCCTTTCTCATAGCTAATTTCAAACTTTAAACTTCAGCTGCTACTCACTTCAGACTTCACTTAATCTGTACCAAGTGAAAACAAACTGCTGAACGGATGATTTTTAATCTACATGTTTAAAATAAATTTCAGGAATTTTCTCAGGAAAAAAGTGTAGTGTGCTGAATAATTTACCACTCTGAAGACAGAAAGAACTATAAAAACCTTCAAGAAGTCAGCAAGATATGTCTTACTAAATATAGCACCTTTCTCTGATGAAGTCACCACAGGCTTCCAGTAGAGTCGAGTGACAACTAGTCAAAACAGTCAATGGAGTTGCAACAGTGCAATTCACTGTGGTAGTTAGCATAAGCTAGGCCTAGATAGTGAAAAGGCAGCAAACTTTCATTTTAGTATAAGTAAACAAAATAGGGCCAACCTCTCATCCCAATCGACAGAATAGTGTTTGCGTGCTCAAGCAGACAGTCAAACTATGCAATCAACCTGCTCACCATCAAGAACTAAAAACAAGTCCAGAACAAGTAGAGAGTGTGTGTCCCCATCCCATGGTGCTGAGCCTCTGTCCTGAGACAGCCTTGGTAGGAGCTGGGCAGCGGCTATTTCTCTAACTGGGTTACTGAGTTCCCCCACCTGCCTTGTACCCCTGTGCTCCTTTGTGGGTGCGGAGATAGGACTTCAATGGGCTGATGGCTCTCCTGGGATGGGGCTGGAAGTAGCCACAGCAAGGCATTATTTGGGCTCCCCTATCTGCCATTGTGCCTCTCTTCTCCTTTGTTTGCAGACAAGACAATTGTTTTAGGACAAGAGGAAACGGCCTCAAGTTGCACCAGGGGAGGTTCACGTTGGATATTAGGAAGAATTTCTTCAGTGTTAGAGTCATTAAGCATTGGAACAGGGTCCCCAGGGAGGTGGTGAACTCACCATCCCTGGAGGTATTCAAAAAACATTCAGATGTGGTGCTTCGAGACATGGTTTAGCGGGCATAGTGGCATTATGTAGATGGTTGGACTTGATTATCTTTGAGGTCTCTTCCAATCATAACAATTCTATGATTCTGTAAGCTTTTTAATCAAGTAACCTAACACACCTCTTCTATAATACCACTTACCATACTTGTCCTCAAGTCTATTTCCTGGACAGGTTTTTAAAAGTTTAATATCCCAAATGGGATTACGAGGAAAATCACAAAACACTGTGGTCTAATAACCACAATATTTGCTGAAGTCAACCATTTTGTATGATTGTATTAGAAATCTGATAAGCTGATCTGAACAGGTAAGTACTGTATAAACCATATAAACCACTATAGATAGATATAAGAGGGTCACCCGAGTAACAGAAATGGTTAATTACATCAAATATATACACAGAAGAAAATGTATGGCTAGGAACATATTTCTTAAGAATTTTACATCAGATTAATAATGCATCATTAATATAACTTGATTAGGGAGTTTTCTTATATTTGCAATTATACTCAAATAATACCTAAGTACATTTTGAATTTTGCAAATTGTTGTAGTTCATCCAGATCCTAGTTGTTGTTATTTGAATACAAAGTCAGAATATGTGCCCTATGTGGTGTTTTCACCAAAGTTTGGCCCAGAATAATATAAGGCTTGCTAAGCCTGAAAACTTCATCTGCTCTTATAAGTAAATCAGTGATGAAGAAAAGTAAATGTAGTAATCCTGGTATAATATTCATAATGAACCCAGTAAAATGGGACAAGAATAACACTCCATGAGACAGAGTAATCAAATTCATGATCATTCAAGTGCAATCACTATTAAAAGGGAAGAGAGAAAAAAAAAAAAAAATAATCACAATTCCAAACCAAAGGATATTACCACCACATAAAATGACCAGCTATATCTTTAAATGTTTGCTTTTAATGTCATATGTGAAATTGTAGCATACATTTAGATAAAAATGGTGAAATATTTTCTATTACTCAAACATTATTTAGGAATAGAAAATGAAGATTGTTCAAATAATTCATATTTTAAATATTTATACATCCCTATGAACAACGGTTTGCAAATATCAAAAATCCTTTCAGTGGGAGAAAAATCCATTGATCATAAGAAAGTTTTTGACAAATTTAGTAGGATAAATAGAAAATAGTTGATATTCCAGATTGCCTCATTGTTTGGGAATTGTGTTATTGTGAACAACAGAAATAGAAATAGAAACGTTTGGATTTGAAACAGTGAGACTTTTCTTCCTTGATGCTTGAACAAAAGGCAATAAAGATTTAAGATGTGTTAATTTGCTAACTAGAAAGAAAAACATTTTTAAGATTAGTATACTCACACTATTTCTAACGCAAGATGTAATGAAGTTGACAAAACTTTTGGATGAGTCAATTCCTTTGCTAATTGTCCAAATTGAAATTTATTGTAGTCTATAAAGACAGACTTCTATTGTACCTAACAATTTATTCTCTCTTAGAAGCCATGTCTGTCAACTCGATGTATCAAGATACCTCACAGCAAAAAAACCCCACACCTCACCTCATGAAGCAGTATGTATTCATCAAACATTCAAGAATGACATACTTACACAATTGATTTTTCCAGTCTGCTCCCCTGTGATCCAACTATTTCTCCCAGTGTACAAAACATTTGTCCCAAAAAATCCTGAAAAGCAGTAACACAAAAACTCAGAATTCATATTTCATATTGAAACAAATTTGGTTTCCCATTTATCTGGGCTGTTTACTATTGTAGAACACATTCTGCTGAACATCATATCTTAAGAGTAATTATGCAATAATGAATCATAAAACAGACTATTACATATTTTACATAACACTGCATTACATTTACAGAAGTAATTCTAATGCACTCCACTTACTCTTTTTATGTTGCCTTTTTCATCAACAAAAATGACACCAAGATGGAAAAAATTTAAAAGCTTTAGAAATATGACTGCTTCTTTACCTTTTTTTAACTGGAGTATTTTAATAAATTTCTCTTTTATGAAGAAATTCTACACTGATTCTATGAATTCCTTGGAAGTCACTTATGTTTGCTGAAATTCAAGCCTGTGCAAGATCTGCATGGACATCCTGGACTGACAATTATACACAAGCATTGCTTTAATGACAGACTTTATTTTCATGCTTTATAATTTAACTATATCACTAAAAATCAGCTAGTTTTCATATTCTATATTATACATATGTAATATAAGTAGTATAAAAATGTGAATGGATTTTCAAACTGTTGCATGCATATTGAAAAATTGTTATGCTGCAGTCCAGCTCCTTATCTTGCAAGTGAAAAGAGCTCAATAGCTCTGTTCTTCCCAGCGTCACTGGCAGCAGTGATAACAGCAGCTTGTGACATTTGTTCACAAACAGTAATGAGAATTGAGACATTATAATTCCTATAGAGCAAACCATAAGTTTATGATACAGTCTATAGTAACGAATATGTGTACAAGTAGTTCTGACTCTCAGCCCACGCCACTCATTCCCACCTCTGAGCTGTGTCAGTTATGGGTCCATATAGAGAATTGGATCTGAGAACTAATCCCACTGAAGAGGAAAATAACCCTGCAAAAAAGAAATTTTTGAACTATGTCCTTTAACTGATCTCACACTGTGACACTGTTTCCATAAAGATTAAGTGTTTTAAAATGGCTAAAATTCATCTGAAAATACTCAGTTCCTCATTCACTTTTAAAAACATCAGGCATGACATACTGTAAAATAACACCATTTTCTACAGTGAAACCATGTATTCCACAATTATTTTTTTTTTTTTTGGTGGAGTTTCTATGATTAATTCCTATTAGTCCCACAGTCTGTTATAAATTACAATTGTTCACTACTCTGTTGGCTTTTTCTTAAATCAGGAAGTTACCACGAACATAAAACATTACAGACTTGTGGCAGCACTGTCTAGTATGGTTACTTCATACATCCATTACAAAACTTGCTTCATTTGCTTCTCATTTTGCCAAAACGGGGTCACTGAAATCAAAATTCTTCAGCTTGACTCTTTTTTCATCCCCCAAACTGTTCAACTATTAAATGACACTGCCCAGTATTTCCAAAGGAACGGGTCAACATCTAGTTTTAGGAACAGGGAAGATCTCATTCCACACAAGGTGAGTACAACACATGAGCAGTCCAGCTATACAAATACTACTGGCCTGAAACACCAAGCTCTCAGGGCACAGATATGCGCAAAACTCTGCTCACTTCCTACCTACTCACTGCTCAAATTCTTAAGAGCTACAGGAAAGAGATGCAGGAAGCTGGCACCAAAAAGAACAATCCAGACCAACCTTGAGCACTTGGGAAATGACGGAAACAAACTGCTGTGCTTAAGAAGCACATTTCTAGCTACAGCCTTTCACAGGGTTCTCAGAGTCGTCTTCCTCTTCATGTGCATAATATTATATGGCATAGTTTGGATGTCTTCAGCACAGATATCAAGTCTACACCAACTTGTACAGATTTCCTCTCAAAGACAATGGAGGAAAATAGATATTTCTGATATTAATGTTAATGTCTAAAGCATAACGTTTCCCTCCCCAATTGAAGATTCCAGGAAATTGGCACTGTTTAAAAAACAGGACTTAATGCATCTGAGTATGCTTAGTCTGTACTAATTAGAACATAACAGGCACATATGTAACTCAAGACCTACTTGAATAGTCTTCAGAAGAACATTAGTTTGTTTTGCTCATTGTTTTGTCCTTCTTTTCCATGGGCTTAGTAAGATACTCAAGCCTTCAATTCCTGTTCCAGTAACCAAACAATAAAATCTAGGCTATATATTTGCATGTATCTCTGTTCGCACTTCCATAGTAACTAACTTACCTTGCGTCCTATCTTTTTTCTTAAAAGTTAATTATGAGGGTTTTCTACAAAGAAGTATGATTCAGGGAAAAAAAAGAAAAGAATTCAGATAAACTAGTTACTACAGAAGCGCAAACAATCTTGGGCAGAAGCCCAGGATGAGTCTTTATCCTTGTTGAAGACCGCATAGGGAAGACTCCTATTTTCTGCATACTCCTAGCTAGCAATGCAGTTATTCAGCCCCCCTTTCCATGATGACAGAGATGGAAAAGTTTGCCAGGGGCTTTAAATCTTTACAGGGAGGATTTAACTGCAGATCAATGGCTAAAAGTCTTCTCACTGTGAAGCACACACAGACAACATTCTTTCCATTATTCTCTTTTCCTTTGCTCCAGATTCTTAAAGGTTCTCTTACCGAAGCCTTCCTGTATTTATTTTTAAAAATTCACTCAGAAACCTCAATCTCTGAATTCTACTCTTGTATCTCTAGATTTTATATTCACTATTTAGTCCCTTCCACTTCAAGATGACATGGGCATAAAAGGTCTCTACTAATATTAACTGGGACACAATCAAAACATTTTTACAATTTTTAGGACCCAGAAAAGTATTCTCAAATGCAGCATATCACATATCTGAAAAGGTATATACATGTGCTTAAATATGCCCTTTACAGGAGAATGTCCCATTAAAATTCTACTCATGACCATTATACATGTTGTTAACTACAGAACAATCACTGTACTTGTCTCTATGCATCTGATATTACTTACAGTCAAAAGAAAATAAACACATTTAGGGAAGCGTAAGCTTTTCAGCACAAGGAAGTATAACAGCAAGGAAAAACTTACATGTTTTGATAGGTTAGGACTCTTTGAGTCAACATCGTAGCTTAAAAAAAAAAGAAAAAAAAAGAGAGTTATATCAAGAGTTGCCAGATGACAGATCTGAGGACAATGTAAAGAAACAAAAAATCAAACAATTCTTTCATCTATTTCAATGTGTGAAATTTACACAGAAAAGTGAATGGAAGTCTCACCAGTAAGGAAGGCAAATTGAATCATCACAGATTATAGGATTACAGTTTACTAGCTATTTGAAATGAAATAGTTTTCAACTATTTCAAAGTGCAGGCTACTAAGAGAAATTATTCTGGTATTCCTGTTTGAATAATGAAAGCTGCCAAAAAAACAGAACAAAAATTAAAAATTAATATTAGAAAGCAAACTAATTTGTGAATTATTTTCTTAGGTGATTTTTCAGCCATTTGACTAATTAAATAGAAATAACTGACAATAAAGTAAATTGCTTCTAGCAAGAATTTGACATGTTCTTTTTTACGCAACTGAAACAAAGAACTACTTCACTGGCAAAATCAGTAACAAATCATCAAATATGAACTGAAAGAAGCCTGAGACATTGGTGGCTATATGGTTTAGGAGGGATTTCATGCTTATTTATCAGAACACCAAAAATCAAGATATATACTCACGGCTTTCTTTTTGTTGCAAAAAATATGAACCATATGAAGAGTTTCTTTCTTTGAAAAATAACACTTTGGCCAACAGTAGTACACAATTTTGCTGAGGAATTTAAAACAGGAAGCTTTCTAAAGATGCTTCTTTCCTGATCTAAATCAGAGTTTTAATCCATGAGAAGCTGTACGAGATTCACATTTCTAACTCTGAGTTCTACAATATTTAATTTCTCATTTATCATTGTTATAAAGCTCTAAAGTAAATACACAGACTACGGCTATGTGGTCACTTGCAGTCAAACATTAAAAACAGTTATTCAGCTTTGAATTCAGAACAGACTTGTGTCCAGTTAATCCAGAACAGCAGCAGAAAACAGTCAGGTCTTTCTGGTAAGTACAGAGCATGTTTGATATTTACAGCTTTTTGTAAATAAACAAACAGGAGTCCATTTCTCTGATTACGTGAAGAATCAAACAGGAGACTATATTTTCCCTTCCAGGTCTAAATCCTTTTCAGATAGCACTTATCCAGAAGTTCTTTACAGAATTTCCTTTCTTTGCCTAGACTGAACCTAGGTTTCTCTTCCTTGGATCACTTTTGCTCTTCTCTTTTATTGCACTGCCTCCTCCCCATAACATACATGCATCTTGTGAGGAGCGAGAGGCAACCAAATCAAGATTCCTACACAGTCCCAACTGTGTCTTTATTTCAGCAATGCTTTGCTTACACTTGGAGGAGAATCCTTTATTTCACAAAGTGACTAGCTCTTCAAGTTATTTTAAATAGTAGGCAACAGTTATACTCAGCAGATTTAATGACATTAAACCCAACTTGTAAAATAAAAAATAAAGTCTGCACCAGGCTTCCATGGTGAAGATGAAAGAATTTGTACCTAGCCATCTAGAAGCACCTTGTAATCTATCTTGGCATTATTTCCTTTCACTCCTTGAAATCGCTGAAGTCTAGATGGAAACAGCTAGCTGCTCTCTGTGTACTGAACATAATGGAACTTTTTCCCTCACTCATCCCTCCAACACTTCTTGTTAACTTAGGCAACATTCTGACATGCTATAAAAAGACATTTACAGCTAAAGAAAAATTAGACATGGGGGGTTTTTTTGTTTCCACGATATAGGAAATGCTGCCATTCAAGAACATTTCAGTACACCCTGCTGGCAACTTAAAACAAAATCAGCAAAACTGCACATAACTTTATTAATGTTGCTAACATACATCTATCAGATATCCTAATTTTTCTTCCACTTCTATGGGAAAAAATCATCACTAATGTGATCACTGCCCTATTTATTTTATGCCCTGCTTAATGTAGATTGATTTGCATTTCAGAAACTTTGGGGGGGAGGAGGGGGAAGGAATCAAGAAACTGTCAGAGTTGCTTCGAAGCAACTACTTGGATAAGTAAAATGGCACATTGAGATTAAAGCCTACAAGATTTTAAAAATGGCTTTACCATGAACTTGCTAGGAGATTTTAGGCAAATTATGAAGTCTTTCTTCATCTGTTTTGCTGTCTACAAGACAGAAATGCAATAAAAGCAGTTTCTATATCAAGGCACTCTTGCAACATAACTTTAAATTGGGAAGCAATAACACTGCAACTATAATCAACACCTGAGTGGGATTTGCTGCAATTCCATAACACAGATCAGGAGACCTCTGTCTTTAGGATTATAAAGTATAGGAAGGCAGACTACAGTAAGTAACTTAACAGATAATTCTCCTAAATCTTTTTCAAGAACAAATAAACTAAAAGAAATACACATGAAGGCAGAAATCTTAGGAACAAAAAATAAGAATTGACAAAACTCAAACTAAAGTATATCTTGTAAAGGAAACAAAAAGAAATAGGAAAAGGGTTCTTCAACTAAAAAGGACATGTAGAGAAAAAACTGTGGCCACTATGCATACTGTACTGCAAAACTGAGTGAATGGTTTTCCCTTAATTATCTATGTGGGTTACTCAAGTGTTCTCTTATAGGACAAGCTGAGGAAGAACTGCTAATAAAAAACAGGATGAGAATTAAAAAAAAACAGTGCAAGCTTGATTGTCACAAAGACTGAAATAATAAGAATGGGGTGAAATGTAACAAATGACATGCAAAGTGACCTGATGACTGGACTCTCAATTCTATTTTCCAAACAATAAAGTGAAAAACAAACCAATTCCACCAGTGAAATGAAATGAGTACATCTGGAATAACGTCAAAAGCCATCTACTTCTAGAACCATCACTTTCATTTTAAAATCTTAAAATTTAGTATACTTAGACGCATAATGGCATTTATTTTATTAAAGAAAATTTTATCTCTATACTACTTGTACAGTATTTTATTTCTGGACGGTATGTCCATACTTTTTTATTGGCTATGCTGCAGGAGTAATTCAACATTTTGACATCCTTAGCTTTCTAACTATTTTCTAAAAGTAATGATTCTCAGTATGATTGTACTTTGACTAGTTAACACCTGCCAATTTCTTAAAACTCGGTCATTATTATGTTACACATTTATTTCTGAGGAAGCAATGCTAAATCAATAATGTTTATTAATGTATCCCATGTCAATAGATACTATCTCTTTTCAAGTTAATTTTATGCTGGATAAAAGTTAATATGTTTACAGAGGCTGCAATATTAGAGTTAAAGATTGTTAACTTACAAATCGAATCGCAGATTCTCTCTTTCTTCAAAGAAGTAGTCCATTATAAATTTTCTTACAAAATCTGGATTTAAAGTATTATCAATTACTTCTGTTCTTCCAAACTGTGAAAGAAAAGTATAAGTTTAAGCCACATGCTATAACGAAGTATAATTAAGTAGACTGCCAATACCAGCAATATGTGAGATATGAGAGCGCCTGTAAAAAAATTCTCTTGAACAGATGCATGAAAGAAAATGATTGTGTTCACATGAATAGATCAGTTATCTGTGGATGAAGAAAGACTGGCAGAAAACCTCTTATTTCAATATAAAAAGTGGCACACACCCTGTATCATATGACATAAACTTTATAAACATCAGCTCCCAACGCTGATCAGAATCTACAAAAATTTGGGGAAGAAATTCAGTAACATAAAAATCCACTGTTTCTTCAAAAAAAAAAAGATAACAGCAAGCAAAAGCTTGCATATGTTGCTTATTTCAAATAGCTTTAAATATTAGGGAATATAGACCTTCCATTAGAAGCATATAATTTTTGAATTAACCAGCTCCTATTTCACCTTAATTCAGCTCTCTCTTCATCTCTCCTCTCTCTGAGCTTTCTGCAAAATACCCTTTCTTTCTTGGTGTTTACAAGAAGAGCCTCAGATCTCATCAAGCTCAAAATATTTTAATTAAAAAAAAATAAATAACTTTTGATTGACTTCAGTTCATACATATCACAGATATAAATGACTGCTCATATAATATCAATCCGATAATTTTGTTCCTGTTTTAGCTGTTCTTTCAAGATGTTCAGAAAACAAAACAAAAAGAATGAGTTGTTATTGAAATGAGCATTTCATTTTGTCCTACACATTGAACATATCAAGACATATTTGAATATAGCCTACTGAAAAGCTTTTTGAGAGTTTGCCTAAACATCATCATTAAGGAGTCCTCAAAACTGCAATTTGGGACTAGAGACTTTTGATTGACTCAAAGACTACCAACCTCTTCATTGGCAGGACTTACCTAAATCAATAAACATGGATAAAGAAAGAATACACCTCCTTATAACTAATGGTTTTTGAGATGTATTTCCTAAAAAATTTTTTCACATCATGGATGTGAATCTAACCACTATAACCTGCATAGAGCCCCTCAGCTTCCACAGGAGCCTCCCTATCCCGGCCCCTGCATACTTAACTTGTATGTGGTATGAAAGGACAGAGCATACTCCACAGTCTCTTCATCTCAAAATTAAGCAATTTCCTTTCATTACTTGATTCTTATTAAAATAAAATGGTAAAGAACTCCAGTCACATTATTTGTGTGCTTTAAAGAAACTCTGTTACTGTCAGCAACTCTTTTTCTCCTTGGAATGACTGTGCGTGCATGCATGCATTCGAACTGCAGGGGACTGACTCTGAGCACCATACAATCACACAGGTCATCTGGAGAAGCGGGCCTGCATCTAAGAGGATGACTGCTTTGCAAAAAGCAACTACCCACACAAGGTCTCAGATGCAATAAAAATGTTCAACAAAAGTTAACACATCTTCAAGACACATCTCTATAAAGTCTCATGAAAAGGAACAATCTCAGAAGTGACACAGTGGTGATTTGCATCTTTACAGAGTGTGCTTGAATCCTGTTAGGTACCTTCACTTTCGCTATGCTGTGAGAAGTTCAATTGGGACAGTCTTATTCAGAGATGTCCATATTCCAGCACTTCCTATAAAAGACAGAGAAGCAAAACTATCTTCCCAATGAACAATACCATCTTCAAATAAAAAGGCAAAGAATATTTAACATATAGTGTTAATTAGCATACTCCTTTGCCAAGACTTTACATAATTTCTTAAAACCTAGGTGGAATGATTCCCCAGTCTCACTGGAACCTTGATATCCCCTGCAAGAAGGTTTCTGAGTATGTCTAAAGGCACAATTGTTCATAAAGCAAGTTTAGTCATTAGCAGTCATTGTATTTCTTCAGCTCTCCTAAGCCAAAGCAATAGCTATGAAGCCGGTAAGCATTATACGGACATGGGCAGGAGAAATCTCCAGAAGCTCTCCAGAGTGATGAAGATATTGGATACTCAAAACAAAATTCCCGAGTCTCTTAAGAGAGGACTAGCACAGGATGCACACCATCCTGGAAACAGATCAGAATATGAACAAATAGTTTGATCCTTACTGTTTATTTTGTATGAAAAAAGTCAGTCTCTTGAGAAATGATTCAAGGTATCCTCTGAAACGGGATAAAGTTGACAGGCAGAGTGCTGTAAAACACACTCTCTTAAACCAACACTGGTGATTACTACGGTCAAGTATTAATCAATGAGAAATGACAGTAGTGGTAGAAAGTTGGCATTTCTATAGGAGTAAGTTTGGCTGGAATACTTGTCCGGGCTAAAGCGCCTTTCTTTCCCCTCTGAATAGTAGCGCTCAAATTTTATGGACATTCAAAGTCTCCAATCAGTTTCCAAGTCAAATAAATCTCAATGTTTATAAATAAAATCTTCCCCTGTCAGCTGCATGCTTTATAATATTCAACAATATTGGAGCCAGGAAAAACTGAAAGCTGGAATGGCTGCTAAAATGAAATATGCAGCAATATCTAAGCATTTTGTACTGTTTGAAGGTATGCACTGAAAATGAGAAGCCACTCTCTGACAAAAGCCAGTAAACAGCAGTTCATCAGACCAGGGACAAAAAATGAAAACAATGGGGTCATAAGGACCATCCATTTTGCAATTCTGAACAAGAATATATCTCATCTGTGTATTTTTTTCCCCCCTTCAAGTGTCCTATTTCTCCCATTTGCACGCTTACAGCTAACTGTCCAAATTTTCTCAACTGTTGGAATCAGCTGCATAAAGAGGAGTTTAACCCTTAGTACTAAAATCTGATAAATACTGACCTACTCTAGGAGCAAAGGACTCTGGGCCTTCAAAAAGAAGATCCAAGGATGACTGCATGGTAACTGGCGAAGCTACCAGAGGCACAGTAAGTAAGCAAAGAACATGGATTAAGTTCTCATAGTCTCTCACGCTATGTCCAACAGAATCAGACACACATATACAAAGATATCCACGAAAATATCTCCCAGCCTGTGCAGATGCAAGTAGCAAATTGTCCTGGGAGACTCCTTAATCACCAGCAAGAAAAGAAAGGTTACTGAAGTTCTTTAAATCCTCAGATTAGGACAAGCTTGAAGGAGAGTAAAACGATCTTCAGTCATGTGGGCCCTACATTTCCATATACATGGAAGACACAGAGAAACAAAGAACAAAGGGAGCTGTAGTCTAAGAAAGTTTACTTTCTGCTGCCAAAGTCATCATCTAAATTGAGAAGCACAAATCCAAAATACCTAAGTAAGCTCAGAGGATAACTTGTCAAAAGAGTTCATTCAGGGGCACTAATACTTCTCTTGACAAACCTCTGGCTTGACATCTTCATAAACAGATCATTTTCTGACAGTATGATCCTTCTTGAAATAGTAAAGGCAGTTTGCACAACAGGAGGATATACTTGACTTTGGAAAAGACATTCAGAGGAAAAGAAAATTAATGGCTATGGAAAACTGACAAGAATCATAGAATTCTTGAGGTTGGAAGGAACCTCATGAGATTGCCCAGTTCCACCTTCCTGCTCAAAGCAGGATAAGCTAGAGTAGGTTGTCCAGTCAGGTTTTGAGTATGTCCAAGGACAGAGACTCCACAACCTTTCTGGGCAACCCGTTCCATTATAAGATCACCTTCATAGTAAAAAGGTTTTTTCTCACGTTTAAATAGCATTCTCCGTATTTCAATTTGTACCCATTGACTCTCGTCCTTGGATACAGCTGCAAATAGTCCATCTCTGCCTTCTTTACTGCCTCACAACAGATATTTATAAACATGGATAAAATGTAAGCCTTCTCCAGGTTGAACAATCCCAGCTCTCTCAGCCTTTCCTCATATGAGAGATGCTCCAGTACTTTAACATCTTAGCGGCCCTTTGCTAGAGCCACTCTAGTATGTCCATATCTTTCTCATACAGGGGAGCTCAGCACAGGACACAGCACTCCAGCTATGGTCTCACCAGCGCTGAGGGCAAGGATCACCCACCTTGACCTGTTGGCAATGCTGTCCCTAATGCAGCACAGGATATCGGGCTTGCACCCTCAAAAAACCTCTCCGTTTCACTCACATGGAAGGTACTAAGGGAGTCGGGGCATGACAACTTCTACAAGGGTATGAAATAGCAAGATACAGGCACAGAGCTAGGTAAAGGAAAGTACTGTTTCCTTTTGTTCCTACATATCCTAAAATGATTGTGACGGGAGGGACACACAGACACCTCAGACAAAAAACCCAGTTTATTTATACAGCCCTGTGGACTCTCTCACAAGGTTCAACAAAGACAAATTTGAACTCCTATACTGGTAGTGGGGACTGAGTGGTGGGGTACGAGCTGTGCAGAAAAGGTACTGGTGCTGCCATGAGGGTTTAACAACACATTGGGTTGTATTAGGGTCAGTACAGCCTGCAGATCAAAGGCAACAATTATTCCCTCTCTATTCAAGACATGTGGGGCCCCACCTTGAAAACAGGGTAGAGTTTGGGGCTCTAAATACAACTGAATCAACAGACTGGAGGCAGTTCAGTTAAATGGACTCTAAAAAAGGGAAAAAAAAAAAAAAAAAGACATCAGCAGGCTGGAGCTTACAACTTGAGGAAAAACTGACAGATCTCAGTTTGTTCAGCTTGGAGAAGAGAAGGTTTAGGGAAGTTCTGTTTCCATTAGCATCCTGAAGAGTGTTACAGAAGACACAGCCAGACAGTTGACAGAGTACAACAAAAGGACAAGATGTAAAAGTCAAAAATTGCAACAAAGGAAATTATGAAGCGATATAGTGAAACACTCTTCCAGAATGAGTGATTAAGCATTGGAATGGGTCGCCCAGAGAGTTGTGCAGTCTCTGCCATTAGAGAATTTCAAATCTTTGGGAAAGGCCCTGAGCAAGCTGGCCTAACATGCAAAACAGCTTTGCATGGATCAAGAGGATGAACCAGACACAGGAGATGAGTAGGAGGCTGGATAACACAAAGGTTCCTTTCACTTAATTTATTCCA